AAAGATACAATTTTTTTTTTTTTTTAACAAGTCGGCCGTCTCCCACCGAGGCAGGGTGACCCAAAAAGAAAGAAAATCCCAAAAAAAGAAAATACTTTCATCATCATTCAACACTTTCACCTAACTCACACATAATCACTGTTTTTGCAGAGGTGCTCAGAACACGACAGTTTAGAAGCATATACGTATAAAGAGACACAACATATCCCTCCAAACTGCTAATATCCCGAAATCCCTCCTTTAGAGTGCAGGCATTGTACTTCTCATTTCTAGGACTCAAGTCCAGCTATATAAAAATAACCGGTTTCCCTGAATCCCTTCACTAAATATTACCCTGCTCACACTCCAACAGATCGTCAGGTACCAAATACCATTCGTCTACATTATATATATGTTCCTCTTTTCTGATAGGGGCATATCACATTGGTCTTCAGATGCATGATAGAACTGTTGATTTGGCAAAGTTGTATACCTTTAAAGAGGGAGTAGATTACAATCTTGGGCTGCCAGTTAGCAATCTGAGACCAATAATACTAAAAGAACTGAACTTCACTAGCTTGAGACTGAGGAAGACTGACACCAATCAGTCCATCTATCATCAAACTATCATGCAGGAGGAGCTACTTGTCTATGGTGCATCCAACAAAATGACTCTGGTATGTCACCAATGCCTGGCTCCATCTGGGTTACCAGGATCTCTGGGAGGTTAAATCTAAATTAAACCTAAACCTTGCTAGAAGGACAACTGTCACACCTTGCATCATTATGTATCGGAATGCGATAAAATTAATTAATTCAGCGACGACTCACTAAGATATGTTCAAGAAATGTCAAAGTATTTTGTCCACAGTGGTATATTACCAACCATTCTGGAAAAATACCCTGCCTTTGCCCATTGTAAATACACACATAACACTTAAAAAAAATTTTCTGTATGTGACCCAATTAATTTTTTTTTTCAACAAGTAGGCCGTCTCCCACCAGGGCAGGGTGACCCAAAATGAAAGAAAATCCCCAAAAAGAAAATACTTTCATCATCATTCAACACTTTCACCACACTCATACAGAATCACTGTTTTTGCAGAGGCACTCAGATACAACAGTTTAGAAGCATATATAAAGATATACACCTACCATCCAACTTACGACCGAGCTCGGTTCCGAGAAACCGGTCGTAAGTCGAAATGGACGTAAGTTGAACTTTACTACTGAATATCAACATCACATTTTTGTAATGACTTTATTTTATTGTTTTATTTTGGTATTTCATGTTTTACTTTACTTTTTATGCTATTAGCACTGTATTTTATACCGTAAGGTTTAGGATAAACACTGTGTACAACACAAATAGTTGTTTATTTCCCAGAAATTTGGCATAAAAAACATGGTCGTAAGTCAAGTGGTCGTAAGTCGAGCAGGTCGTAAGTCGGATGGTAGGTGTATAACATATCCCTCCAAACTGCCAATATCCCAAACCCCTCCTTTAAAGTGCAGGCATTGTACTTCCCATTTCCAGGACTCCGGCTATATAAAAATAACCGTTTTCCCTGAATCCCTTCACTAAGTATTACCCAGCTCACACTCCAGCAGCTCGCCAGGTCCCAAAAACCATTCATCTCCATTCACTTCTAACACGCTCACGCATGTTCGCTGGAAGTCCAAGTCCCTTGCCCACAAAACGTCCTTTACCCCCTCCCTCCAACCTTTTCAAGGACAACCCCTACCCCACCTTCCTTCCCTTACAGATTTATATGCTCTCCAAGTCATTCTACTTTGATCCATCCTCTCTAAATGACCAAACCACTTCAACAGCCCTCTAATACTTTTATTAACTCCACACATTCTCCTAATTTCCACACTCTGAATTTTCTGCATAATATTTACACCATACATTGCCCTTAGACAGGGCATATCCACTGCCTCAACTGCCTCCTCGCTGCAGCATTTACAACCCAAGCTTCACACCCATATAAGAGAGTTGGTACCACTATACTTTCATACATTCCCTTCTTTGCCTCCATAGATAATGTTTTTTTGTCTCCACATATACCTCAACACACCACTCACCTTTTTTCCTTCATCAATTCTATGGTTAACCTCATTCTTCCTAAGTCCATCCACTGACATGTCAACTCCCAAATATCTGAAAACATTCAATTTTTCCATACTCCCTCTCTCCAATGTGATATCCAATTTTTCTTTATCTAAATCATTTAATACCCTCGTTACCTTACTCTTATCCATGTTCACTTTCAACTTTCTACCTTTACACACCCTCCCAAACTCGTCCACTAACCTTTGCAATTTTCTTTAGAATCTCCCATAAGCACAATATCATCAGCAAAAAGTAACTGTGTCAACTCCCATTTTGTATTTGATTCCTCATAATTTAATCCCACCCCTCTCCCCAACACCCTAGCATTTACTTCTTTTACAACCCCATCTATAAATATATTAAACAATTATGGTGACATTACACACCCCTGTCTAAGACCTACTTTTCCCGGGAAGTAATCTCCCTCTCTTCTACACACCCTAACCTGAGCCTCACTATCCTCATAAAAATTCTTTACAGCATTTAGTAACTTATTACTTATTCCATATACTTGCAACATCTGCCACATTGCTCCCCTATCCACTCTATCATATGCCTTTTCTAAATCCATAAATGCAATGAAAACTTCCCTACCTTTATGTAAATACTGTTCACATATATGCTTCAATTTAAACACTTGATCTACACATCCCCTACCCACATTAAAGCTTCCTTGCTCATCTACAATCCTACTCTCTGTCTTACCTCTAATTCTTTCAATAATAACCCTAGCATACACTTTTCCTGGTATACTCAGTAAACTTATAATTTTTACAATCCCTTTTGTCCCACTTCCCTTTATATAAAGGAACTATACATGATCTTTGCCAATCCCTAGGTACCTTCCCCTCTTTCATACATTAAACAAAAATACCAACCACTCCAACACTATTTCCCCCCTGCTTTTAACATTTCTGTCATGATCCCGTCACTTCCAGCTGCTTTACCCCTTTTCATTCTACGTAATGCCTCACACACCTTCCCCATACTTACATCCTGCTCTTCTTCACTCCTAAAAGATGTTATACCTCCCTGGCCAGTGCATGAAATTACCGCCTGCCTTTCTTCATCGACATTTAAAAGTTCCTCAAAATATTCCCGCCATCTACCCAATACCTCCAGCTCCCCATCTACTAACTCCCCTACTCTGTTTTTAACTGATGAATCCATTTGCTCCCTAGGCTTTCTTAACTTGTTGATCTCACTTCAAAATTTTTTCTTATTTTCATCAAAACTTCTTGACAGTGCCTCTCCCACTCTATCATCTGCTCTCCTTTTGCACTCTCTCACCACTCCCTTCATCTTTCTTTTACTCTCCATATACTCTGGTCTTCTTATAACACTTCTGCTTTGTAAAAGCCTCTCATAAGCTACCTTTTTTTCTCTTTTATCACACCCTTTACTTCATCATTCCACTGATCACTCCTCTTTCCTCCTGCACCCACCCTCCTATAGCCACAAACTTCTGCCCCACATTCTAATACTGCATTTTTAAAACTATTCTAACCCTCTTTAACCCCCCCCCCCCCACTACTCATACTTGCACTAGCCCACCTTTCTGCCAATACATAGTTGCTTATATTTCACCCTAAATTCCTCCTCCCTTAGTTTATACACTTACACCTCTCTCTTACTTGTACCTTTGTAACTTGTCATGATAGTGATCATATCTACCTGGAGTTCATAACCCTTGTAACTTGCTCAGCTATCAAACTTTGGGGGCCAGTCCCTGGACCCATTATGTACCTCGGTAATGTTTTGACTACCGCCCACAGGATGGGTATGGGGTGCATAACAAACATATTAAACCAACTCTTACTTGTTGTTGCCATTTTCCTTTAGTCTCATCTACCTCTTATTCTAACTGTAGCTACAACTAAATAATGATCCGATATATCAGTTGCTCCTTTATAAACATGTACATCCTGAAGCCTACCCATCAACCTTTTATCCACCAATATGTAATCTAACAAAGTACTGTACTTCCATTACGTGCTATATCATACCTTGTATACTTATTTATCCTCTTTTTCATAAAATATGTATTACTTATTACCAAACCTCTTTCGGAGGTTTGGTAATAAGTAATACATATTAAAGGCTCTCCATTTTCATTTACCCCTGGCACCTCAAATTTACCTACTACTCCCTCCACAACATTTTTACCCACTTTAGCACTGAAATCCCCAACCAAAAGCATTCTCACACTTGGTTCAAAACTCCCCATGCACTCACTCAACATTTCCCAAAATCTCTCTCTCCTCTACACTTCTCTCTTCTCCAGGTGCATAAACACTTACTATAAACCACTTTTCACATCCAACCCTCATTTTACTCCACATAATCCTTGAATACATTTATATTCCCTCTTTTCCTGCCATAACTTATCCTTCAACATTATTGCTACTCCTTCTTTAGCTCTTACACTATTTGAAACCCTTGACCTAATCTCATTTATTTCTCCCCACTGAAATTCTCCCGCCCTCTTCAGCTTTGTTTCACTTAAAGCCAGGACATCCAGCTTCTTCTCATTCATAACATCCACAATCATCTCTTTCTTATCATTCGCACAACATCCATGCACATTCAAACATCCCACTTTCATGGTTTTCTTTTTCTTTTTAACAGGCTATACGGGAAAAGGGGTTACTAGCCCATTGTTCCCGGCATTTTAGTTGACTTTTACAACACGCATGAATAACTCATTACACCTGTAACCAGATATAAACATGTAAATACTGCAGTTCATTACTGCTGTAACTTGTTCAGCTATCAAAATTCTGCAACCCAGTCCTTGGACCCATTATGTGTCTCAGTAATCTTTTGACTACTGCCACAGGATGGGTATGGGGTGAATAATAAAGAAATTAAACTAGCTAAGAAAACTGAACCTTAAAAAACTCACCAGCAGAAAAATTAGCTGACCATCCTTTTGCTGGTCGAAGTGGGTCAGAGTTGAAGACAAGGAACATGGCACCAGAGTCAGCAGTGAGAGTGATGGTGGGAGGGTTGTTGGCAGAAAAACCTTTGCCAGAATGTAGCCGAATACCATGAGATGTTGTCATACCATCGTACACCTGCACTGTGTCCTTATTTTCTACATCGAAGTCAATGAACTATGAGGAAGGAGATTATCATCATTAATATGTGTGTGTTCACAATTATTAATATGCACTTTTAAGTTCTAATGATAAGTCACAATTTTAGCATGCCTGAACTTCTTTGCATAATCAGGTGATTTCCACATACTTTGTACCTTTTTGTAACTATCTGTATTTTTTTTATTTGTAACTATTATTATCGAGGTCACCTCCAATGCGAATTATGCAGGCACAAAGTTAACAGTTCATGAGCGATTTCACTGATTCTGAGTCATATTTTAAGCTAATTCCATTGCTCAATTTGACCAAATTCTTAGCTACTTCATTAGTATGCCTTTTGTTCTATCAACTGAGTACAAGAAACCACCCATTCAACCCTATAAAGTGCACAGAATTCGGTAATTTGGCCAATTTTATGCAAAATTAAAAAATTCCATTTTAAAAATAGAATCCAAAATAAACACCAGACATTCCAGGCACTAAAACAATACTTTTTCTGTGCAATAATCATATCCCCAAGCTTTTCCTATATTACACTTACCTTCCATTTTGAATATATCATCGTGCAAAAAATCAAAGATTTACCCTATTTCTTGGATAACAAAATATAACCAAGAATGATTTGTCATAGTTTGCAGCATCTCAATAATTGAATCAGACCTAGTAAAAACCCATAAAACAGACTGGGAGTGTAGGAGAAGGTTTATTCATCCTTAGGAATATTGGCAAAAATCAAATACACGTATTATCAACACTCTGAGGCCAATTTCAAACTAGTTCCAATCCTGGAGCTAACTAAAATCATTTCTATTTCAACAGAATGTATTCCATTCTATTACATGATACCAAGAAACAGCCAATGAAAGCATAAAAATCATCCTAGAAAACCCCCTCAAAATCAATATTTTAAACCAAAGACAAGGTCAAAGCTTTGTTTTTCACATCATGCACTGCATGAGGCAGGATTATTTTTTACACTGTGCACAAACACCACACAGACCCATTCTTTCATATCTAAATCAAAATTGTAATTACACATTGTAAACTATGCAAAGAAATAAAATCCTTAATCATTAACTCATAGCTTATCTGAGTGAGATTAGCTTATGACATAGATCTATGTGATGGACAGTCAAATGGTTAAATGAGTATTCCACGTAAAGTAAGGCCCACCTTGAGTGAGAGAGGTCCTCCTCCAGGGCGTCTGATGAGGTAGCTGCATTCCTGGTTGTTTGGGTAGTCACTAATACCATAGGCTGGAGAGGAAATGGTGCCCTTGTTGTCATTTATGGTGACAGAGCATCCAGAAGAGTACCTGAAGCAAAGTACTAATATAAAGTTTGACTATTCACCTGTCTATATTGTATATCTGTTTACATTAACAATCAACTCATATTATTTTTAATCGATATTTATTTATCTGACATCTATCTTTATATTAATCCATATGCAGTATTTGCCAATCTATATTTAAATTAATTGTGTTAGCCATCTGGAGATCAATCTTAATCTGATTGTATTAAAATGGGATGAAACAAGTGCATATTAAGTGTTCTATGTGGGATTCTTATCAAAAGCCTTACTAAGATCCAAGCATATGAGGGGGAATCTAACAAATAATTTGATAACTAAGATTTAAAATAATATGCAGTTGCAAAAGAGGAGCATTGTGATCCTGAACTCTCATCATGTAGTTAACAAGCAAATATGCTATCCACAGAGCCCACATTGTGTACAAAATATGTGAAATAAGAGTTTATACTGAAGCCATTCATCAAGACAGGCTTGATAAATGGGGATGCAGACCTCAGCATGCCAACCCAGCCTTCATGGTGCAGACCTCAGCAACCCCACCCAGCCTTCATGGTGCAGACCTCAGCAACCCCACCCAGCCTTCATTTTGCAGACCTCAGCATCCCCACCCAGCCTTCATGGTGCAGACCTCAGCATCCCCATTCAATTTTCATGGTGCAGAGCTCAACATACATGTGAAAGCAAAAGACTCAGCAGGAGATGCAACATTCCCCCGATGAAAAGCAGGGGCCCCACGAGTACACTGAGAGACAACACAATAAGTGTACGGGGCCCAAGACTGTTGAACTGCTTCCCAGCATACATAAAGGGGATTACCAATAGACCCTTGGCCGTCTTCAAGAAGACACTGGACAGGCACCTAAAGTCAGTACCTGACCAACCGGGCTGTGGTTCGTACGTCAGCTTGCGTGCAGTCAGCAGTAACAGCCTGGTTGATCAGACCCTGATCCACCATGAGGCCTGGTCTCAGACCGAGCCGTGGGGGTGTTGACCCCTGAAACCCTCTCCAGGTAAACTCCAGGTAATCCCCACCCAGCCTTCATGATGCAGACCTCAGCATCCCCACCCAGCCTTCATGGTGCAGACTTCAGCATCCCCACCCAGCCTTCATGGTGCAGACCTCAGCATCCCCACCCAGCCTTCATGGTGCAGACCTCAGCATCCCCACTCAGCCTTCATGGTGCAGACCTCAGCATCCCCACCCAGCCTTCATGGTGAAGGCCTCAGCATCCCCACCCAGCCTTCATGCTGCAGACCTCAGCATCCCCACCCAGCCTTCATGATGCAGACCTCAGTATCCCCACCCAGCCTTCATGGTGCAGATCTCAGCATCCCCACCCAGCTTTCATGGTGCAGACCTCAGCATCCCCACCCAGCCTTCATGATGCAGGCCTCAGCATCCCCACCCAGCCTTCAAGGTGCAGATCTCAGCATCCCCACCCAGCCTTCATAATGTAGATCTCAATATCCTCACCCAGCCTTCATGGTGCAGACCTCAGCATCCCCACCCAGCCTTCATGATGCAGGCCTCAGCATCGCCACCCAGTCTTCATGATCCAGGCCTCAGCATCCCCACCCAGCCTTCATGCTGCAGACCTCAGCATCCCCACCCAGCCTTCATGATGCAGACCTCAGCATCCCCACCCAGCCTTCATGGTGCAGATCTCAGCATCCCCACCCAGCCTTCAAGGTGCAGATCTCAGCATCCCCACCCAGCCTTCATAATGTAGATCTCAATATCCTCACCCAGCCTTCATGGTGCAGACCTCAGCATCCCCACCCAGCCTTCATGATGCAGGCCTCAGCATCCCCACCCAGTCTTCATGGTACAGACCTCAGCATCTCCACCCAGCCTTCATGATGCAGACACTATAGGTCCCACCTACTAAGCTAATATTTACGTACCGAATACGGAATCCTCGTTGAGAAACTCCCAAGTTAGTGTAGAAGTAGAAGTATATAACAGGACCAGTAGAGATGATGAAGCGAGGGTTATCTTCCTGAGAACCAGTGAGTCGAGCCAATTGGGAATCTGATGGAGAGGTTCCATCTCGTACCAAGATGAAGTCCTTGCCTATAGCAGAAAGAGATTATAATTAAACATTATCCATGGGAGTTGTATATCTTATTTTAATGAGATATAAAATGATGCCTATGATTGCAGATATAAAATTAATGCACTGATTTCTGACTGTAGGAGTAACAGACTATACATCACACTCGAGGTGACTACTGTGCTGTCAAGCATGTATTTTTTCCATCCCATATTCAGTGCAGTACAGGTTAAAAAATTTTTAAACTCAACAGCCACCTCCCACCAAGGTAGGGTGACCAAAAGAACAAAATACATTCACCATCATTCATTCAATTCGATCGAAGTCAGAAGTGTGGTGACTTCACAATCAGATTACCCTCCAATTGCAACATCCTCACCCCTCCTTCTGAGTGAAAGCAGTGCCCTTCCCACCTCCAGGACCCAAGTCCGATTAACCAGTTTTCCTATATCCCTTCATAAAAGTTACCTTGTTCACACTTCAACAGCATATTCATTAAGAGCTACTGTCTCCTATCTAACATGCTCACACAAGCCTGCTGTATACTGCATAAGAGAAATAAAAAATTTGAATTTGGTGCTCAAGCCCTTAAAACTCAAAATATTATTTAACCAGTATTATACAATAGTATTATACAATTTCTCTACCTTCCTTAGAAAAGCTGACATTTCCGTAACAGATTAGATAAGTGTCCTTAACACATATATACATGTGGTGTATATAGTGTATGTTACTATTATATTATTGTGCATTATTATTTTTTTTTCTTTTACTAGCTAATACCAGCTACCTCAAATACTTTTTACTTTTTAATTGCTATTAATTGCTCATAATTTTGTGTTGCAAGTCAAATCTTACTCCAAATTAATGTTATTCATGGTTGTTACCTGTCCATTTAATTCTGTTTACCACTACTTTTTTTAGTCCCTCTTATATTGTGTGAGCAATTAGTGTATATTCCAATTACATTATTGTGAGAGTCCCAAAACTATCTTTTGCTAGCTAGTACCAGTTACCTCATATTTCTCTAATTTTTATAGTGCATTTACTTGCTCAACTTATTATACATTACAAATCAGATCTTACTCCCAAATCAATATTATATCATAGTGACTATCTGTCCATTGAACTTTGTTTACCATTACTTAATTTAGTCCCTTACATATTTTCTACTTTATTGTAGCTTTATATAACTACCTTAGTTCACATATTCACAATTGTTAAAATAATCAAGGTGCTATTCTCAGGTGCTAAAGTGTAATAAGTTCACTATTTTGCCATTATATTCCCAAGCTCATTTATTTTTTTTTTCTCTCTCTTGTCCATATAGTCACATTTATTAAAATACTCCAGGTACTATTGACTACCTCAGGTGCTACTGATTTTGCTTTTAATGCATTCTTTTATAATTATATTCATTAGCTCCTTTATTTTAGCTGTAAATATCTGCTGTAGGTCATAAACTCGCTTGTTAAAATAATTAAGGTGCTATTAGATGTTTAAGTGTATAACTGAATTATCTATTCTGTAATACAGTGGACCCCCGGTTAACGATATTTTTTCACTCCATAAGTATGTTCAGGTGCCAGTACTGACCGAATTTATTCCCATAAGGAATATTGTGAAGTAGATTAGTCCATTTCAGACCCCCAAACATACACATACAAACGCACTTACATAAATACACTTACATAATTGGTCGCATTTGGAGGTAATCGTTATGCGGGGGTCCACTGTAATCCCTCTTTTTTTCAAATTTTTAACAAAAAAAGGTTCTTAGATTAATCAGGAATTCAATCATAAGTTTTGATAATTCCAAAAATTTTAAAATATTTCATTTTACTCACAAAACCCTAGTTTTGTAAAAGAATAAACTTCATTTTAAATTGACACAGGCATAGACCTGAGCAAACATTACTCAGTGAAACTAACATAATCAACCAGTAACCTTAAGCATACACAGCATGACCATCACAGAACCAATTCCCTCAGTCCAAAAATAACATAACCCAACTCTTAACTATAATGTCATATTCCTTACAGGCCAAACAATTGAGGGACCCACAAGCATTATCAATCCTTTTCAATCCAAATGTATCAATAAATTTTGCAAAAGGGAGAACGGGAAATTAAAGCCTGAAAAATAAGATTCTAGACCCTCCTAGTTTAAACTTTCCAATACCACAAGTAGAACACCACAGGGGAAACAGTCTATACACTAAACTAAAATCACTACGATTATACCTAAATCTTAGCACCAGGGACTGTGACACTGGAGAATACCTATCAACCACAGTTTAAATCTGCCTGCAACGAAACCCTCACCAAGCCTATAAACTGCTTACAGAGTGCCACAGAAGACTGCAGGTCTTTAGTGAAAACTATGTGTGCATGGAATTAACATGCACACTGAACTAATTGAGCCTTTTACAAAACAGGAGATTTCAACATAAACATACTACACGACCAGCACCCACAAGTAACCAGCAATATCTAAACCTACAAGAATCTTCGAGACAAGCATCTCCTTAATAGACCACATCTGGATAAACACCATATCCCCTTTAAAATCAGGCATAATCACACACAACACTACAGACCACTACCCAACTTTTCTCATAACTAATCTGGGCAAACTGCCACAAGACATTACTAAAGTAACCTTCAGACTACATAACGAGACAGCAGTTAACTTTATAGCAGCTATGAATAACATCAATTGGCAAAATGAGCTCGAAACATATACAGATAAGAGTGAATGTATAAATAATTTTCTAAAAAAAGCCCAATGCCTCTATAACAGACATTGCCCCAGAAAAACTAAACAGATCACAGCAAAGAGACTGAATAATCCCTGGCTAACACCAAGCATCCTCAAATCCATTAACACAAAGCACAAATATGAAAAACAGTATAGAATGGGTCAAATAACTTAAGTACTTGTGGCTTAGCACTTCTTTTTGATTATAATAATAATAACAACTAGAGAACAGTCAAAAAGTTACTCGTCAGCACTGACCAGTCTGACAAGAAGGTCAAAAAAATTGTATTATGAAAATAGATTACATAACATCAAAGGTGATATGAAAAAAACCTGGAAAAAACTATCTGAAATTCTTGGAACTAAAAAGTTATCCAAAAACAAAACAATCAAACTAACAAAATCAGATGAGCCCCTACTCACTCCAACCGAAACAGCAAACAGACTTAATGTTTTCTTCTCCACCATAGAAAAAAAACCAAGCAAACAAAATACCAAGCAAACACCCATCCATCAGACTACCTCATAGGTACCTACCCAAACACGCTATTCCTAGCTCCAACCAACCCCGCTGAAGTTACGTTTATCATAAACACCCTTCAAAACAAGGCAGGAGACATAAACAACTTGCCTGCTTTTATGTACAAAAAAGCTTCTCAAGCTGGCACTGGACAAGCACCTAAAGTCGGTTCCTGACCAGCCGGGCTGTGGCTCGTACGTTGGTTTGCGTGCAGCCAGCAGCAACAGCCTGGTTGATCAGGCTCTGATCCACCAGGAGGCCTGGTCACAGACCGGGGGGCGTTGACCCCCGGAACTCTCTCCAGGTAAACTCCAGGTAAGTATTGTCACCAATTATTGCAACGCTCTTTAACAAATCCACTGAATCATCTACCTTCCCAACAATCCTCAAAATAGCGAGGGTCACTCCGATCCATAAAGGAGGTGACCAAGCTGACTTGAATAACTATAGACCAATATCTAACTTACCACTGCTCTCTAAAATCTTTGAAAAGTTAATTCATAGACGGATCTATTCCTACCTCGTTTCACACAACATATTAAACCCTTGTCAGTTTGCATTCAGGAATAATAAAAGCACAAATGATGCTATCATACACATGCTAGAACAAATATATACCGCACTTGAAAAGAAAGAAGTCCTGCTGGGCATTTTCATTGATTTACGTAAAGCTTTCGATACAGTTGACCATGAACTGCTGTACTCCAAATTAATGCACTTTAGTATCAGAGGCCACTCCCTCAACTACCTAAAATCGTACCTTAGTAACAGAACTTAATATGTGTATGCAAATGATGCAAACTCTTCCACCCAACCAATCACAGTAGGAGTCCTACAAGGAAGCGTCCTTGGACCACTCCTCTTTCTCATCTACATCAATGATCTACCGAATGCATCACAGCTACTCAAACCCATATTATTTGCAGATGACGCTACATATGTTTTTTCCCCACCCAAACACAGTCATACTAGCAAACACAGTCAATGCTGAATTACAGAAAATATCTGCCTGGATGATGACTAACAAACTTACCCTGAACACTGATAAAACCTATTTCATTCAGTTTCGAAACAAAGCTGCAAACGATCCAATTAGCATAACGCTAAATGGATCATCAGTCACAAGACTCACAGAGGGAAAATTCCTAGGTATCCACCTTGACAGTAGCCTTAAGTTCCAGACACACATACAACAAATCACCAAGAAAATCTCCAAGACTGTAGGCATACTATCAAAGATAAGGTACTACGTTTCACAATCAGCTCTCCTGGCACTGTACCATTCACTCATATACCTTCATCTTACATATGGAATTTGTGCATGGGGATCAATAACATCCAATCACCTAAAACCCCTAATAACCCAACAAAAGGCACAGTAAGAATGATAACAAATTCCCACTCCTGCCAGCATACTCTACCAATTTTCAAAAGTCTGAATCTGCTCACCATTAAGAACATCCATACTTATTCATGTGCCTACTACATACACAGAATAATACACGCAAATATAAACCCTCCACTCAAACTTCTCACCAACCTAAACAAGACACATGACCACAACACAAGACACAGATCTCTTTTTGATATACCTCGTGTTCATATCACACTGTGTAAAAACTCTATGCACATAAAGGGCCCCAAAATATGGAATTCATTACCAGAAGATATTAAAGTAACCCAGTCTGAAAATCAATTTAAGACTTCTCAAAAGCCACTTAATCACCCTAGACTAAATGCTAAATACTCAGTACACACATACTCACTTATGTACTCCCACATCATAATTTCAACAATCACTTTGAACCTTTTATCCATTACCTGGAGTTTACCTGGAGAGAGTTCCGGGGGTCAACGCCCCCGCGGCCCGGTCTGTGACCAGGCCTCCTGGTGGATCAGAGTCTGATCAACCAGGCTGTTGCTGCTGGCTGCACGCAAACCAACGTACGAGCCACAGCCCGGCTGGTCAGGAACCGACTTTAGGTGCTTGTCCAGTGCCAGCTTGAAGACTGCCAGGGGTCTGTTGGTAATCCCCCTTATGTATGCTGGGAGGCAGTTGAACAGTCTCGGGCCCCTGACACTTATTGTATGGTCTCTTAACGTGCTAGTGACACCCCTGCTCTTCATTGGGGGGATGTTGCATCATCTGCCAAGTCTTTTGCTTTCGTAGTGAGTGATTTTCGTGTGCAAGTTCGGTACTAGTCCCTCTAGGATTTTCCAGGTGTGTATAATCATGTATCTCTCCTGCCTGCGTTCCAGGGAATACAGGTTCAGGAACCTCAAGCACTCCCAGTAATTGAGGTGTTTTATCTCCGTTATGCGTGCCGTGAAGGTTCTCTGTACATTTTCTAGGTCAGCAATTTCACCTGCCTTGAAAGGTGCTGTTAGTGTGCAGCAATATTCCAGCCTAGATAGAACAAGTGACCTGAAGAGTGTCATCATGGGCTTGGCCTCCCTAGTTTTGAAGGTTCTCATTATCCATCCTGTCATTTTTCTAGCAGATGCAATTGATACAATGTTATGGTCCTTGAAGGTGAGATCCTCCGACATGATCACTCCCAGGTCTTTGACGTTGGTGTTTCGCTCTATTTTGTGGCCAGAATTTTTTTTTGTACTCTGATGAAGATTTAATTTCCTCGTGTTTACCAATATCTGAGTAATTGAAATTTCTCATCGTTGAACTTCATATTGTTTTCTGCAGCCCACTGAAAGATTCGGTTGATGTCTGCCTGGAGCCTTGCAGTGTCTGCAATGGAAGACACTGTCATGCAGATTTGGGTGTCATCTGCAAAGGAAGACACGGTGCTGTGGCTGACATCCTTGTCTATGTCGGATATGAGGATGAGGAACAAGATGGGAGCGAGTACTGTGCCTTGTGGAACAGAGCTTTTCACCGTAGCTGCCTCGGACTTTACTCTGTTGACGACTACTCTCTGTGTTCTGTTAGTGAGGAAATTATAGATCCATCGACCGACTTTTCCTGTTATTCCTTTAGCACGCATTTTGTTGACAGGAATATAATTGAATCATTGTTTTCACAAAAGCATTTTCGAATATAAATATATTTTTGTATTATACACATTTTGATTCATTTATAATTAATATTCTACTGTACAATTATGAAATAATTACTATCCTACTGTACAACTATGATATACTCCTTAATTTAAGTAGACTGTAAGCCAATAATGTTAAGTTGGCCCATAATGCCTAGACATAATAGAGGCTCTCTTTGCACTGCAACCCACTATACATGTATTGTAAATACAAAATCCCAATGTACTGTTTGCAAAGACATAAAATAAATAAGTAAATAGGAATAAGTTGTTATTAAAATAAGTAATTATTTTACAATTACTACCAATGCTGACCATTCTCATATCATTAATGATAACAGTAGACATGAATGTTCCTTGGTATTTTCAACCGCCTCAATGTCAGAAATAAATTGGCCATTCAAATTCAAATTCAAAGTTTATTCTCTATAAGGATTACAATGCTGAGTTTACATAAATTTGGTTATTGTGTGGTTTACATGTACATAGTAAAATAGTGATTACAGAGTGTACCACTAGAACGCTTAGCATGGCTAGGCATTTCGGGCAGACTTAGTTTTATTCTTAATTGTAAAATATTACAAATTACGAGGTAAGTTGGTATTATGGCTAAGTGACTAAATACTAGTTTGTGAGTTTAGCAATGTGAATGCTTTTGTTTTGGCACAGTACATAGTTTCAGTATTGGAGTATCACAGGATTCATTATTTTAAGATTGAGATTAATATTTCTGTTTATGGTCAAATGAGTGAGTGAGTGTAAGTGTGAACCACCAGGTGGTATTCGTGTAGTTAGTTGCCGGGGTGTATCAGGGAGATAAGATGTTTTCTAATGGTAGTTTTGAAGGTGATGAATGTGTCTGCAGTTCTAGAGTTCTCAGGTAGGGTATTGTTTAATATGCTTCTGTGTAGTTATAGTTTTTATAGGTTTTTGTAACCTAACCAAACCAAACCTTACTTAACCTAATCTAATTTAGCTTAACCAATTTAGCTTAACCAAACTTAATCTAGCCTAACACAAGTTACAAGAAAGAAAACAGCATTTTCAGTTCAACTGGTATTAAGAAAATAACACTAGGCACTAAATAAATACATTAGAATGATAAAATGAGGATAGGTTGTATACTGAGAAAAATGACTTCAGACTGAACTAGGATGCACTGGTTTCCTAGATTCACTTTAATTGTATTTCTTTATTATACGAGGCATTTTCAGAAGAATTGGTTATTAACATACCCCGTTCAAGATCCAAATCAAGAATTTCTAGAGTGATGACACGTCCTTGCTGTGTCTTGAGAATGTACAGACACTCAAGACCACCTGGGTAGTTGAGGGGATACTTGTATGATGTCATGATCTGTGCTTGGGGTGTAGCAATCAGCTCCCCACCACAGTTTTGAGGTTCTGTCTTCCATGATGCCCTAAAAGAAAAGAAAATTAAGAGACAAGCCCTGTATGAGTTCCTAAATGTTTAAGGGGAACTAAAATCTACAGGCATAGTGTCTTAAATGGTGCAAGAAGAGACTGGTATATAAAACACTGTGTATGCATTCATGTACAGTGGAAGAATGCTTACTAAATATGAATTTGGAAAAAAATTATCCAGTACATAACACTCTCCCTGTCTTCCCAATTACAGAAAACATATTAATGGCGCCATCTTTCCTTGGGAGCGCTGATTAATTAAAGGAGAGTAAAATAAGCAAGGGTAATGCACTACAGATATTGATACAGTACTTACTGAAGGGAGACTGAGAAGTCAAAAAGAGAAAGAATCCAAAAGAAGTACTGTATACAAGAAATAAATATGAAACAATGAGATGATTTTAGAAAGCCATATAGTACAGTACAGAGGAATGTTGAGCCTAGTAAAAAACACCCAGGATATTACAAAATATTTTATCCAAATATGCAGGGAAGCATTACAAAATTTTGTTCTTACTGGAAGAAAAATAAACAAGATAATCTGGAAATACCTTTCGATCAATAATATTAAAATAGAAAATTCAGTAACTAGAGACAAGCAGGAAAGATAAGAACAATTATTTTGAAGTAAAGAAGGGAAGGGATAAACAAATCAAAATAGACATAGCAGCCAAAGCAAAATCAAAATCAGAGCTACTTCAGGCATAATGAGGACAAACTACGTGAGAATATCAAATGCTGAAATAACTAGGAAAACCAAATTGGTACATAAGATACATTATCACATCATCCATCATATGATAGCTGTCTCACCTGAAACCTCTCTTCTCCACTGATGCATCAGTCTTGAACTTGAGAATCATGAAGTTGGAAGCTGATATGAAGAGTTTATCAGTGAGGTTCTGTCTGCCTGAGAGTGTTGTTAAGGACACAGCTGAATCTTCTGTGCGTCCACCACTCAGAATCTGTACAGTGTCAAAGTTCTTCTCAGTGTCAAATTCAAAAAACTGAAGAATAACATTATGACCAACAGGGCCCTCTAGGGTCCATTTACAGTCCATATTGGGTCCATACTTTTTGGGATATTCTGGACTCTCTATTGAGTCACCTGAGGAACGCATATAGAAGTGGCAGCGGTTAGGACAGTTCATCTCATCAGACATATCTCCACAGTCATTTTGACCATCACAAAGGAAAGCCTGTTGAAGAGAAAAAAGTAAAATAACACTCATCACAAAGAACTCTTAAACCTACATGTTTAATGAATGATTTTTAAAGTTGCAGCAGTTTATTAAAAAGAAAATTGGATTTTTCTTATGTCAATAACACTGACAAATTAGTTAATTGGGTGACTGAAAATTATTTATACTGATGAGATTCAACAAGAATTCTTGAAAATTGAAAAACAATATTTTTGCATTATACTACATTATGTGTTAATTAAATCAAGGCTAAATCCATACAATGTAAAAAAAAAAAGTGTTAAAGCTATAATGTACGGTACCAAAAGAGGTTTATTTTATCCAATATGAGGAAACTTGGGTAATGCTCTTAACAATTCATCATCTTCAGTATGAATAATCTTTGCTTCAGTAACTAAATATCATTACTGACCTTGTTGACACATCTACCGTTGGAACAGTGGAGAGCACCACTGGTGCAGGCCTGGACGCGACACATGAAGGGCAGCAAGGACTCACAAGTACTTAGTTCCCATGACTGGTGCTGGTCGGACAGTCTTGCCTTGACACACTCCCCACCAGACACCTTTGGCTGCCCTTGTGACCAGAACCCTAGGGGTTTAAAACAAATATTTTTAACCTAGGACAACCCATCAAAGTCATATATAGTAATGTAATTAATTGCTATTGTTATCTCTTCCCTAGGATGAAAGCTACAACAGCTAAGTAAAATATAGATACCCATTTTCCTACTAAGTAACAAGGGAAGATTTTGTTCAGATTAACCTGAAGGGTTAATAACCCAGTATAACCCAATAAACTCAGGATGTCATCACACTGTCTTTCTTAGATCCATTGGCATCCTTTAGTCCTTTCCTCCAGGATGTAAGCCACACCAGTCACCTAGCTCATAGGTGCATGATAGATGAACAGGGGGTAGGAGGTATAAGGAAATATGCCCAAAGTTTCCGATCATATGAGGATTTAACCGGTCCCAAAATATGTGAGCTGAGGCATTTACCACATGAGTCATGAGCACCCCGCATGTGCAAGACAACTTGACCCACCCAGGAGCCAAACCCTAGTCCTTTCTATTATGAGGTGAATGCTTTATCACTGAACTATAGGTCAAAGGCAAGCACACACACTCAACAAAATGCTTATGCATGCCAGTGGCTTTCTTTGTGCTTAACAATTGTTACATGTAACCTACAGTTTGTATAATACACAAAGAAATCAAGCTTTTTATTTTGATTTAATTTGAATGCTAAGATATAATGTTACAATAGTCAAATATGACGAGAATTTATTTTAGTAAAGGAGGGCCCCACTTTACAACATTTCACTAATACTACTACGGCTTTCAATTATACCCATTCTTCATTTATTCAGACTTCCTACAATATGTATATTCACCACTCATTATAAGCAAAGGATGAAAATAATTTAAAGTAAGTAATGTGTGCACTGTATATGCATTTTTTAGGCCTAGTTCTATTGCTCACCTAATATATGATAGTGTAAACATGTTGTCAGGCTTGTATAAGCATTTGAAAGTGAAAAAAGCCTATGTACCACTTGACAGTGATTTTCACTTTACAGCAGTAGCCTGGAACCTAATCTGTTGAATAAGCAGGTCCCTCCTGTACTTATAATCATGTACAATGATAGGCCCTTGTAGTCTTATGTTAGGCTTAAGCTTGCTCGAAATGCTCTGCATAATTATGGGCTCTTCATTGTCACCCATTTCTGAATAAACAATGTATCATGTTGAAATAAACTTGTATATTGAATTGTAAATGCTGCGTACTCAGTAAGTACCACATGTCTGAGGTATAGAATGTATACATATCTACTTCTCTGAATGCTACTGTGTATGTATGCTTCAAGGTACAGGTTTCAGGTATACTGCCTATTTGTAGGTATTTTCTTTTCCCTTTCTGCAAGATGTTTTATTCCTCTCCCCTCAAGAGGGTGCTTTTTCTTTGGTCTTATTTTCTTGTCTACCAGTGGTCATTCCTGACATCTTTTCAGGTGCTCCAGCAAACTTTTTTTTGTATCCTCTTCAGTTTGTATACTCATCATTATGGCATTATCCACAAACAAGCACAAAGAAGAACTCATTCTTGTTACCGGTTTATTAATATACACTCTAGGGCTAGGCACAACATGGGACCCAACACTTGATGTTTCATTCCTTACCATATCTAACTTTTTATATGGTTAATACTACTTAAAACTTTTTTGGGTTATCCTAGGTAATATACATGTATATTATGTATGATAATTGTACTTACGTGCAATTTACGCTATACGTATATGACAATTGTATTGACATTTATGTGTACTTGTGCTTAAATAAACTTACTTATTCTGTGGCACTATTTTAAAAGCCTTCATACTGACTAAAAATAAGTCAGCCCATCCTCCTCTCTCCTGACTGAGCTCTTAGTGTATCGTAAGTTTTTTTTTATAATGTTTGTAAGGCATGACCTATTTCTGAATCCCAGCTAGAGGTCTTTGGAGAAACCATACCACGGGCGGGATTTGAATCCGCGGTCAGAGAGTCTCAAAACTCCAGACCGTCGTGTTAGCCACTGGACCAGCTAGTCACATAAGATTTTATATATTTCTTGTAGAAATATACCTAGTTGGATGAATCTTATGTGGCTAGCTGATCCAGTGGCTAACGCGACGGTCTGGAGTTTTGAGACTCTTTGACCGCGGGTTCAAATCCCGCCCGTGGTATGGTTTGTTTGCAACCGTGTCTTTACGATTTCGTGAGTCTTTGGAGAATTTAGATATGTCTAGATGTCCAACAAACCTTTCCCCACTGTTAATGATTTTTGTAAAATGTATAAGTTTGCAAAATATTTCATCTACTCTTAATATTTTTGGTGATATTCCAATGAATTCTGATCATTTTCGGCAATTTGTAAATATAATAATAATCTGATACCTTTGACATTATCAATCTCTCAATAGCCATTTTAATGCTTGATACAATGTAGTTTCTTTTGGGATTTCCTCTCTTCTATCTCAGGCAATGACTTTTTCTTAATGGTAAACACATTCTATTATCTTATTTTAAGCTTACTACATATTTACTTTTCAACATTTAATGTGTTTCACCTTCTTTCAATGTTATTACTTGATTTATTATTTCAAATGCTCTTTATGTGTATCTCTGGTGATGTATTGTGTCATGTTCACTCTCAGATCTTTAACCTGTATTTTTTTTTTTAGTTTTTTCCCTTCCCATACTAATACTCTTATCTGATCTTTTCTATCAGTACTCCCGATTTCTACAACTTTGCTCTCGTTTTGATGAACTGTGGCAGACATGTTCTTAACTACTATTGTATTTATATTTTGTCTAATTTTAGTTTGTAACCTGTCTTTACCCTCCACAATTCCATTCTTGTCATTAACTTCTCATCATTAACTATCAGAAATATGTAAACTTATTCCCATTTGACAGGTCATTTACCTATATAAAAAAAATAATGGTTCTTAGTAGTAATACATGGTTAACCAAATGTCACCCTTGTTTTCATCCTCATGACTACTCCCTAATCATCACTCTCTGCCCTCTGTTTGGTTAGTTAGTTAGTTAAAGATTAGCCGGTATTCTCCCGGCCCGGGCCTTGTCCAAGTGGTGGCCCGGCCTTGGCTCCCTCTTTAGGGAGTGTCTGAGACCTAAGTCTCCCATGGGAGGAGGCACAAGTACCTCCTCATCTTCGGGACCAACTGTCCCCAGGCCTAGCCACAAGCTAGGCCTCTCTGGTCTGTCATCCCAGCCCCAAGGGGGCAAATGGGAATGACAGTCTTATGAGCTAAAGGCTCGGGCTCAGGCACCTACCCTACCCTAGAAGGGTTAGGCATGGTGTCGATCTTCCTCTGTTTGGTTGATGTTCATTGTAGCACTTCTCTTTCTGTGTGTGTGTACTCACCTATTTGTGGTTGCAGGGGTCGAGTCATAGCTCCTGGCCCCGCCTCTTCACTGATTGCTACTAGGTCCTCTCTCTCCCTGCTCCATGAGCTTTATCATACCTCGCCTTAAAACTATGTATGGTTCCCGCCTCCACTACTTCACTTTCTAGACTATTCCACTTGACGTGTGTGTGTGTGTGTGTGTGTGTGTGTGTGTGTGTGTGTGTGTGTGTGTGTGTGTGTGTGTGTGTGTGTGTGTGACTCAACAATCAATATTTGCACCAATAACTCATTACAGTTGTGACCGGGTGTGGAAGTGTGAATTGCTCATTGCTCTATAATTTGTTCATGATTGTAGCCATGTATAAACGTAAGTAACCATTCTTACAGAATTCATTACCTTTGTAACTTGTGAGTTCATTACCTTTGTACCTAGTTCAGCTATCAAAACTTTGGGGGCCCAGTCCCTGGACCCATTACGTACCTCTGTAATCTGTAAATACCTTTGTAACTTGTCATGATTGTGACCAGACCTACCTGGAGTTCATTACCTTTGTAAATTGTGAGTTCATTACCTTTGTAAATTGTGAGTTCATTACCTCTGTAACTTGCTCAGCTATCAAAACTTTGGAGTCCAGTCCCTGGACCCATTATGTACCTCTGTAATCTTTTGACTACCGCCCACAGGATGGGTATGGGGTGCATAATAAACATATTAAACTAACTAAACTTCTCCGGTGTGGTATTCTCAAGTTCTTCCATGCAGTCCAAAAATAATGCAGTCTACCCATTCAATCCCTTACCTGGAGTTTACCTGGAGAGAGTTTCGGGGGTCAACGCCCCCGCGGCCCGGTCTGTGACCAGGCCTCCTGGTGGATCAGCGCCTGATCAACCAGGCTGTTGCTGCTGGCTGCACGCAAACCAACGTACGAGCCACAGCCCGGCTGATCAGGAACTGCCTTTAGGTGCTTGTCCAGTGCCAGCTTGAAGACTGCCAGGGGTCTGTTGGTAATCCCCCTTATGTGTGCTGGGAGGCAGTTGAACAGTCTCGGTCCCCTGACACTTATTGTATGGTCTCTTAACGTGCTAGTGACACCCCTGCTTTTCATTGGGGGGATGGTGCATCGTCTGCCAAGTCTTTTGCTTTCGTAGTGAGTGATTTTCGTGTGCAAGTTCGGTACTAGTCCCTCTAGGATTTTCCAGGTGTATATAATCATGTATCTCTCCCTCCTGCGTTCCAGGGAATACAGGTTTAGAAACCTCAAGCGCTCCCAGTAATTGAGGTGTTTTATCTCCGTTATGCGCGCCGTGAAAGTTCTCTGTACATTTTCTAGGTCGGCAATTTCACCTGCCTTGAAAGGTGCTGTTAGAGTGCAGCAATATTCCAGCCTAGATAGAACAAGTGACCTGAAGAGTGTCATCATGGGCTTGGCCTCCCTAGTTTTGAAGGTTCTCATTATCCATCCTGTCATTTTTCTAGCAGATGCGATTGATACAATGTTACTGATAATCTCTTCCAGTACACTGGAGACTAAATGTGTTAGCTATATGTTAGCGATCCTGTGCCTCCAGGTGCTTCATGTCGAGTAGTAGTTCACGGGAATACGTTACCTTGTTCCATTACTTTATTTTGGGCATTTTTTCAGTAGCTTCTTTTGTCCTTTGATATGAGGATGCTTTTCTATTTCGAATGTTGACTCTTCCTCTTTCTCTTTTTTTTTTTTTTTTTTTTTTTTTTTTTTTTGGTGCGGTTACTTCTCTAATGAATACCTCCTCAATTTTCAAAGTTTTTCACATATTTTTCTGTCATCATGTTTCTGACCCTCCCTCCTTCAGTCTTTTTTACTAAGTCCTTAATTAACAACTGCCTTCCTATTTGGGGGCTGTGTAGTTTTGACACTAATTAATCCTGCTTATCCTTCCATATGCTCTCGCGCTACCGTCCACAGGATGGATATGGGGTGCACAATAAACTAGCCACTTCGGTGGCAAAATCTATCTTATCCTACCATTAACTGCAAACGCCTCTAAACTCCCAGTTACGCATTGTCCTTGTTTGTACCTTGGTTTGGCCTTTTTTGTAGTTCTAGTAAAGCAAAGGTTGTTTCCCCATTTCCATTCCTATGGCTTTGTATATATTGTTGTATCCTGGTATATCCTATCTAATTTTCCCATCATCCCATGGGTTGTCTGTCATATTTTCCTATCTCATTGTACTCAAGTTTGAAAAACTTTCATTCAGCATATCATAGTCTGTTTTTCTATTCATCTCTTCCCTTGTTTTGAATATCATTTCAATCTAATGCTCAATGCTAGCACAGTGTGTACACTGACTCCTAGTATTAATAATTAATGTTTAAATGGGTGGACTGTAAGCCAGCGAAAGGCCTTGGTCAGATGACCAAAAGGTCAGTGGAGGGTCATGATACTACTTAGACCAGCGTCAGGAAACAACTGTACTGTTTCCTGACAAATCTTACCTAACCCTAACTTGACTCTTAGTGGTGGTGTATGTCGAGGAGCGAAGTGAAAGGAAGGTGTGTCACTGATTGTTATTCCTGGGTTATGAATGAAAGTTTTCACGCACCAGAGTAGAGAGAGACGTGCTTGCCACTGGCACTCTTGAGTGTGTTGGTTGAGAGGTCGTTGAGGGAGATGAGGCCCAGCCAGTAGCTGTTAGTGGGGTCATCCAGCGAGTTGTGGGCCAGAGCCTCCGTAAAGTTGTTCTGCTCATAGCTCTCAACCAGCACCAAGTCCGAGCCAAACCTGTGGACAAAATAAACATTAATACCAAGTCAAGAGGCCACTGTTGGTGGTGTATTCAAGGTGTAATGTTGCTGACTAAGACGCAATAACTAAGTATTATTATTCACTGACGTTTCGCCAGCACAGCGGCTATATCATTTAGACTGACAAAACTTGTGTAGGTGAAACATCTCTCAATAAAGATACCCAGGTGTTTCACATGTCTTGATCATCAACTTTATGGCAATACAGTCATAGCCAGCCACACAGATCAAATAGCTTCCTAAACACGAAGATTGAAGATGCCGTCAAGGACTGGAAAATAAACATGGATACCCAACTGAACAATTATTTTGCTTACCAAGATGATAAGGCAGAGCAAGATACAGTAGTGATTAACAGCCCACTCTTTCCCCGTGAATTAAATCATACCAATTGCAAAGATACAGCTCTCCAGATCATATGTGACCACCTACAAGTTAATGTGCCAGTGTCGGAAATAAAAGAATCACGGTTACTAGGGAACCAAGGGAGAAAAAGTGTTATGCTTAGATTTCACACACGACAGAAAAAAAGATTTAATAAGTTCATCTATTAAAGCAAAAAAAAAAAGATATATACATAAATGAGGGTCTCACAAGAAAACGACAGAACCTCCTGTACAGAGTGAGAAAACTGAAACGTGAGAATAATGATAAAATTCACCAGTGCTTTGTACGTGATGGACAAATTCTAGTAAGAAAAACAAATGTAGGCCGTGTGTACTATATTACAAATGAAAATGAACTAGCAAACTTCCTTCATGACGCAAACATTACAGTCTGACTGATATTAGTGACCAAATCATTGTACTACGTTAGTGTATGTTATTATGCCATTATTGAACTAATCCCTGTACTATCACCTCCTGGATAGTAGTATTTACTACCTCATTATCCCATGTGTCCCACACAGTTCCTAGTGTGACCCAATTTGTGTTATCTTTCCAGATTTCCTTTTCACAATTTATTATTTGTTAATAAGATACTTACTCTTTAATAATATCTGTATTACCATTTATTCCTGCTTAAGCAGTTATAATTCTCTTATAATCTTACCTAATTTTTCCTTTGCTCCCAAACTACAAATAACAAACTAGTGTAAGTTCCTACTACACTACTGTGCAATTCCTTGTATCATCTTCCACTAGCTAGTATCAATTATCTCAAATAATATTTCTTTTTGTGATATTAATTGCTCAAACTTTATGCTATAAGGTAAATCTTACTCTCAGATTAATTTCATATCATAGTGACAATCTATTTAAAGGTTGTTTACCACTACTTAATTTAGTCCCTTTTTACATTTCTCCTGAAATAATTCTCTATATACCAATACATTGTACTGCCCTTTATTCAGTAATTGGTATACTCCTAGTTCTAACAACAATTAAAGAGCTACTTTCAGGAGATATAATTTTTTTCCCTCTTGTCCATATAGTCACATTTATTAAAATACTCCAGGTGCTGTTGACTACCTCAGGTGCTACTGATTTTGTTGTTAATACATTCTTTTATTATTATATTCACTAGCTCCTTTATTTTTGCTGTAAATATCTACTGTAGGTCATAAACTCATTTGCTAAAATAATTAAGGTGCTATTAGATGCTTAAGTGTATAACTGAATTATCTGTTCTGTAATAATCCCTTTTTCTTTTAAATTTTTACAAGTTTTAGAATAATTACAGAGTCTTATTCATAAGTCTAGCTGTAGATTCAATATAAATCTTATAATATTTTACTCAGAAAATCTAGTTTGTAAAATCACTCTCATCTTATGACTACAGGCATAGATCCTGATGTAAACTTTTTACTAAATGAATTACACGAATCAAACAGCAACTGTAATTACTACACAGCAAACCAAGCAAAGACATTACTCAGTGCAAACAATAACATAACCATCTTTAAGTACAATGTCAGATCCTTGAGCAAACATTATGATGACCTCACTGCATTACCCAATTCCCTTCATTCCAATATATCAATCATCACACTCGCAGAAGCCTGGCTTAAGCCTGATATTACAGATGTCTATGCCATTCCTGTGCTGTATAGCCCTTGTGGCTTAGCGCTTCTTTTTGATTATAATAATAATAATATGCCATTCCTGGGTACATGGCTATATACAACTGTAGAACAGACCAGCAAGGGGGAGGAACAGCTATAAACTACTCAAATCGACTCTAATGTATCAATAAATCTTGCACAAGGGACGAACAAAAGACCTGCAAAAAACCCTCACTGTTATAAACATCTACAGAGTACCACAGTCAAACATTTATCACTTTAGTGAAAAACTAGAAAACATGATTACTGATGCACACATGAATGAAGACCACCTACTACTAACAGACGATTTCAACATAAACATACTACACGACCAGGACCCACAAGTAACCGAATTCACAAACACAATGAGGGTGTGTGTGGGAAACAAGCAGGTTGCAACACTAGGGTTGGAAACAGTAAATGTATAAAAGGCATTCAGCATGAAGTTATAAATAAAGACAATAGAACAGGTCAGCAAACAAAGGGGGACAGCAGAGGGCAGCAAGGGACTAGCTCCCTTAAGGTTTACTATACTAATAGCAGGATGTTAGAAATAAGATAGATGAGCTAAGATTAATTGCAAGTGCAGGAAACATAGATATTATGCTATAACAGAGACCTGGCTCAATCTGAAAGATAGAGAGATGCCCTCTTTAATGTCACATACAAGGCTATAAATTATTCACACTGACAGGGTCAACAGGAAAGGTGGTGGAGTAGCGATGTATGTCAGAGACAATTTAAATTGTTGTGTTAGACAAGATATTAAATTAGAAGCGTCAGCCACTGAATCTGTTTGGTTACAGCTTCTCGAGGGCCGAGAAAAACTAATTTTGGGTGTGATTTACAGGGCCCCAAATCTTGATAGGGAGTGCAGTAAACTTCTATGGGACGAAATTCGTAAAGGCATCTACATACGAAAATGTTGTGCTAATGGGAGATTTCAACTATAGACAGATTGACTGGAGCAATTTGACAGAAATTTTAGAGTCGGGTGACTTTCTTGATTCGATCCAGGATTGTTTTTTAAAACAGTTTGTGACAGAGCCAACTAGGGGAAATAACCTCCTTGACTTGGTTCTTGCCAGTAGGGAAACACTAATTAATAATCTTGAGGTTAATGATGAGCTTGGGGAGAGTGATCACAAATCACTCAGTTTTAACATATTATGGAATTCCCCTAATAATGGCAATCAAGTCTCCGTCCCTGACTTTCGCTTGGCTGATTTCATAGACTGAAAAATTACTTAGGTGGGCTGAACTGGAATGACCTGACTAAGGTCAGGTAGGTGGTGATGGTTGCCGATATGATGCTTTCCAGGGCATAGTTCTAGCTGCTCAGTCAAATTATGTTCCAAATAGGGAAATCAGATCAAACAAAAATGATCCTAAATGGATGAACAATAGATTAAAATATCTGATTGGTCAAAAGAGAGGCATATATAGGCAAATCAAAAGAGGAGAGGGCAATTAAGAAATCGATATATTCAGTTAAAGAGAGAAATAAAAAAGGGAATTAGAAAAGCAAAAAGAGATTATGAGGTTAAAGTTGCAAGAGAATCGAAGACTAACCCAAAAGGATTCTTTCAGGTATACAGAAGTAAGATCAGGGACAAGATAGGCCCACTCAAAAGTTCCTCGGGTCAGCTCACTGACAGTGATAAGGAAATGTGTAGAATTTTTAACACATACTTCCTCTCAGTTTTTACACAGGAGGATACCAGTGATATTCCAGTAATGATAAATTATGTAGAACAGGACGATAATAAACTGTGCACTATTAGGGTCACAAGTGACATGGTCCTTAGGCAAATAGATAAATTAAAACCTAACAAATCCCCAGGCCCTGATGAACTGTATGCAAGGTTCTAAAGGAATGTAAAGAGGAGCTTAGCACACCTTTGGCTAATCTTTTCAACATATCACTACAAACTGGCATGGTGCCAGATAAGTGGAAAATGGCAAATGTGATACCTATTTTCAAAACAGGTGACAGGTCCTTAGCTTCGAACTATAGACCAATAAGCCTAACCTCCATAGTGGGAAAATTTATGGAATCAATAATTGCCGAGGCAGTTCGTAGCCACCTTGAAAAGCATAAATTAATCAACGAATCTCAGCATGGTTTTACAAAGGGCGTTCCTGCCTTACGAATTTATTAACTTTTTTCACTAAGGTATTTTGAGGAGGTAGATCATGGTAATGAATATGATATTGTGTATATGGACTTCAGTAAGGCTTTTGACAGGGTCCCACATCAGAGACTATTGAGGAAAATTAAAGCACATGGAATAGGAGGAGAAAATTTTTTCCTGGATAGAGGCATGGTTGACAAATAGGCAGCAGAGAGTTTGCATAAATGGGGAGAAATCAGAGTGGGGAAGCGTCACGAGCGGTGTTCCACAGGGGTCAGTGTTGGGCCCCCTGCTGTTCACAATCTACATAAACGACATAGATGAGGGCATAAAGAGCGACATCGGCAAGTTTGCCGATGACACCAAAATAGGCCATCGAATTCATTCTGACGAGGACATTCGAGCACTCCAGGAAGATTTGAATAGACTGATGCAGTGGTCGGAGAAGTGGCAGATGCAGTTTAATATAGACAAATGCAAAGTTCTAAATGTTGGACAGGACAATAACCATGCCACATATAAACTAAATAATGTAGATCTATATATTACGGATTGCGAAAAAGATTAGGAGTTCTGGTTAGCAGTAATCTGAAACCAAGACAACAGTGCATAAGTGTTCGCAATAAAGCTAATAGAATCCTTGGCTTCATATCAAGAAGCATAAATAATAGGAGTCCTCAGGTTGTTCTTCAACTCTATACATCCTTGGTTAGGCCTCATTTAGATTATGCTGCACAGTTTTGGTCACCGTATTACAGAATGGATATAAATTCTCTGGAAAATGTACAAAGGAGG